GCGGCCCCGGGCTGAACCCGGGCAGGAGGGCGGCAGGGGTTCCTCCTCCTCAGCTGCAGGGCGCTGTGAGTGTCCCTCTTGAGGTTCCTCAGGCTCCTCCTGGCCCGCTTCGCCATCCTGGGGAGGTGGCTCCAGATCACATCTCTGCCCTGAGCATGAGCTGCTCGTGCATTGCATTCGCTCCTGTGCTCGCCAGGTTGCCCAGCTGGAGCAGGGGCTAGCAGGCTAAGCCCAGCTGCACGCCGACATGGAGCATCAGTGGCTCCTGGGCAGTTGTTTGGGAAGTCCCTCAGACTGTTCTCTGTTTCATCAGGATATATATATATACATGCACATACATAACCCCTGCAGGCTTTGCCTGCACATAGCTGCCACCACCCTTTTGGCTATGGTCAGTTCCACAGCTGTTGCTGGTGGTGGCGAGTGCTGGTGGCCTTGCAGGGTTTCAGCAGGCCCTTGGCAAACTGAGGTTCTCAGCCCATGTGGTTTCAACAGGACCAGTCTCCAGAGCTCATGAGTTCTTGGAGGGCTTTCACACGCTACCTTCCCAGTGCCAGGTCTCCTGCTGTTTCCTGGTAGTGTCCACATCTGTGGGTACCTATACAGCCCATTTACACAAACTCTCAAAAGCAGGCTTTACCACACTGCCTCTGGAGCAGAGACAAATGGAAAGAAGTCTCTTTAAAAGCTGAGGAACAGAATGAAAACACACACTTCATATCATGGTATGTGAAGACAACACTTGCTTTCATGTAAGAAGCCAGTTTAAAAGAGCTCAGATGTGGTCCTACCCACTGCCACAGGACAACAGACCTGGCCCTGAAGCCATGAGGGTTCAGTCCGCCATGCGGCAGCTCTTCCAGGCCCCCAGCATGAAGGTGCTGGCTGTGGTAGTAAAACCGATTTCCTATTAGCATGGGCACTAGCCGGCTGTGGGATGGGATGGCCCCAGGACTGACTGGGCTTGGCACATCCTCTGATTAATCAGAGTGGATTTGTTCAAGTTAATTTATTTGTGCAGGCATCTGTCAATAAGAAGCTGGAAATGCTGATTTTCTTTGCAGCTGTTAACAATGCCCTCTTGAGTGTTCTGATCAGAAATGCCTTTTTTTCCAGCACGGATTACTCTCCAAGTGCCAGTTCTGATCCAGTGTGGCTGACAGCAGTTGTCTGAGAGTGCGGCTTTGCCGTGTAATTGGGATGCAGTTGTGTGGTTAAAGCCACACGGTTCTGAGATGCTGATCTTGCCAGTCCGATCTGTGCCATATGCTTTCCAGCAATACCCGCTGCAGCACGGGGAGATGGAAGCCCCAGGGAAATTCAGGTAACTTCCAGGGGCACCAGGAATCATACGTGAAATCATGGTGCTACAGTTGTTCTCTGTTTAATTGGAGTGCAAAAGCCAACTGGAAAGAAAGGCCAAAGGAATAATTCATGATGAATGCAGCAATTATTTCTGGAGCATAGGTTCGCTCAAACGTTTCTCCAGTAGGAGATCCCAGGGCTAGCGATGCAGTCGAGTTCGTAAGCTAAGTTCACATGTTCGGCCCCCTTGGAGCATCAGATACAGTGTTCTGATCAGAAATGCCTTTTTTTCCAGCACGGATTACTCTCCAAGTGCCAGTTCTGATCCAGTGTGGCTGACAGCAGTTGTCTGAGAGTGCGGCTTTGCCGTGTAATTGGGATGCAGTTGTGTGGTTAAAGCCACACGGTTCTGAGATGCTGATCTTGCCAGTCCGATCTGTGCCATATGCTTTCCAGCAATACCCGCTGCAGCACGGGGAGATGGAAGCCCCAGGGAAATTCAGGTAACTTCCAGGGGCACCAGGAATCATACGTGAAATCATGGTGCTACAGTTGTTCTCTGTTTAATTGGAGTGCAAAAGCCAACTGGAAAGAAAGGCCAAAGGAATAATTCATGATGAATGCAGCAATTATTTCTGGAGCATAGGTTCGCTCAAACGTTTCTCCAGTAGGAGATCCCAGGGCTAGCGATGCAGTCGAGTTCGTAAGCTAAGTTCACATGTTCGGCCCCCTTGGAGCATCAGATACATAAGGCAAATGTGAGTGGGTTCAGTGCTAGAGTCTTGGTATTTGTCTACAGACCAGCGCTAATTTGGGGGGTTAGACTTGGGCCTTGAAGGAGCTGCGATGAGCACACACACGCTGTGGCGCTGCCTTTTGCCTGGCAGTGACTTTTGAACCCGCTTTCAGCTGAATGAGCCACAGGAGCAGACCTCGAAAAGCCTCAGGGTTCCTACAAGCTTTGTGAAAGTCAGGAAGAGGTTAAAGAGACCCAGACTGGCGTGGGTCTGGGGAGGGCTGAGATCACCTGGCAGTCTGTATGGCGCAGCCCCGAAAAGAAAAGCGTGGTTGCAGCCCCAAGCCAGAACAGCAGCCAGCCGCTTTCCCAGGCAGCAGCAGAGAGGCAGGGAGGGACGGTGGCAGAAGCAACAGAGTAGAGGTCTCACAGGCTGTCAGAGATTGATACCGAGAGTCGAACTGAGGCTTGCAGCAAAGGGCTGTAAGGATACAAACCAGAAAACTCTGAGAAACAAGGACTTGCTTAGTTCATGCAACAATTTGTTGGGGTTTTTTTTTTCAGC